AATGAATTAGAAGATAAAAAAAAGCGAAGGATCGTGGGCAGCGAGTTGGCGTCGGTGTGATTTATCCAATGACGCGCCAAGCTGACTGAAGCGGGAAAGTCGGAATTCAAATTGCACCCAACGAATGATGTTGGTCCCGCAGCGATAATGCGACTGTCTGTAACTCAGGCGAAGCCACGTGATTCCAGGGTGATTTCTTCAGTTTTGTTTTGCATAGTACCCGTCTTCACAAAAGCGGGTGTGGCGCAGTGGTTAGAAGTGCTTTGCGGTACATAGCTGCTCGATCAATCAACAGTCAATGGTTCAATCCCGCGCTAAAGCTCACCGAATCTTCTGTCCATCCGGGGTCAGTAATGTGGTACCAAACTCGCCTGTCGGAATAGCAGCACTAACTGGATACATTGGAAGACCTGCGCGATCATTGTTAAGGCCACTTATTGATTTGATCACCTCAAATAATGCTGGATGAAGACAAATGCATGTCGCATTTTTCAGGAACTTTAGAGCTCCGTCCCGTCCTCACACTGACTCTACGGATCCCCAAGCACCTCGTGCATTCGCTCCGTTTTCTCGTATCCGTCATCATCCCCGAAAGTAGTCGGACTTTTCATGGATCACTTTCCTTCAGCTGCTTGGAGATTGTCGTCTTCTTTTGCAGATCCCGTAGAATGCCGGTCGGTCCATCTAATCTCCTTTGAGTCCTCAAACATCTGAGAAAAAAGTTACCACTTCGAGCTCAGCGGCAGTCCTCTATCTGAAGAGACTGCTAGCATTTCCTCGACTTTAGAGAAATGAGGAGCTTAAGGAGCGCGGTGAATGCTCGAACCAAAACCTCCCTCGCGACGATCGGAGATACTACTTCTTCGCTATCCGCACGTGTATGATAGTAGTACGTACATTAATTTGATACGCATTTCCACACCCATTATGGAATGTATCTTATGATCACGATAAATTGTTAGAGAGTGCCTAAATAGGCTTACTTATGCGAATAACGAGTGGCATAGCGCACTGGTTAGTGAGAGATATCAGGAAGAAAGGCGATAACCAAAAAGATAGCTCGATGCGCTCTTCCAGCACTCTTGCAATCTATAATCAAACTCCTAGGAACGGTAAAAGTCGAATACAAGAAGTGCTGGGATCCGCACAATAAATCGTGGTGACGGGTCGTGTGAAGTGAAATAACAAAAAATGTCAAAAACAAAGAATTGCATCCTCAGCAGCACATAAAATCAGTCTACTTGCTTCCACTTCCGTCTTGAATTTGTCATACCTAACATGGCAGCGTATTGCCTCAGGCAAGGTCAGATTAGCAGTCAATGGTCAGAGCAGTATCTGTGGTGTCTTGCATGCTAAATCACAATCTGGGGATGTTCGAGGCATGTGCGAGCTTGGTTTCGATGGTTGCAAATCGACCAGAGAATGGCTGGGACATAGCACAAAAAAAAAATATTGGCCCGATGTATGGGAGGTGGAGTGGATCGATCAGTGAAAACAAAATAGTTAGGCAATGTCACAGAGATGATACAAGTACTTCAATTTCAACACTTTTAACCATTTGAAGCCTTATTATCAAGGTCGTACCTAGTAATCAAAAGAAGAGCAGGAAGATACTACCTAGTAGCTTAGATTACCCGTGTTCAAATGTTATGCGGATCACAGCGCTTCTGTTCCCTTCGTTATTTTGAGCAGCCGCCATCCGAAGAGGTGACCAGGCTCGTATATGCCGATTCGACTTCTATATCAGTTTTTTTATCACAACATAATCACTGCTGCTCGTCGACTTTAATTTTCTCTGAATAGCCACGAGATAGGTGAACTCGAAGTATTTTTTCAGGTCGTCTTTCTAAGCAGTTGCTAGTTGTTGTAAATGGCATATAAATTGCCTGCCTTAGGTTTCTCAGCCCTCTAAAATGGCAGCGACACTTGTGACGCTACCAAATCCTGTCATTAATCGGCTAATTGTTTGAAGACATTCAGCAAGTTGATTGAACCGATGAAATAAGAACATGTATAGATAAGAAGATCCCTGGAATTATCGAAACAATCATCAGTTTTTCTGAAAAATATGCGGTTTATCAGTGCACTGATCACCGGGACTCGTAAAACATACCGAAGTTTTCCATTTATCGAAACCTCAAAAGTGTGGAGTTTTTTTGCAGATTAACATACGTATAGCATTTGGGGTAATGTGTATTGCCATATGTGTTGACTTTTTCCTATCAAAGCTGCGAGTGATTGCACTGAAGAGAGTAATAATAAATATTGTCAAGGCGGGGCTAAGAATCTATTAGGACCAATGAAAATGAGGCATAGACAAGTCTCAAGTTGAGGACTATTAAATATCTGAAAAATCTATTACAGGAGTCGAAATAACGTGGATATCTAGATATTGTAGCACTATCTTAAATAAGAGCCTAAAAACGTACGAAAGGAAGAATCATTGTTATGCTGTAAAAACAACTACACCACGGCGTGTGGCGAAATCTCCACCATACTAAACAACCTCGAGTAGATAGGAGTCACGAGGCCACACTCGGATGTTTCCAAGTGCCAAACAATGCGCCACGACGTGACCTCTATAGGAGTCACGTAGTGTGCAGATAGCGGCTGCTTGCAAATTCCATCCAAAGTATCTCGGTTTGCAGTCAGTTCATGGATTACAATATAGTCTATCAAATACTGAAGTTCCTTGCCTGTACGATACATTTTCTCATATCGCTGTCTTAGGCTAAGACTCCGTTTCGTTCGAGCCTCTAACACTTCTTTCATTAGCACTATTTTTTGCTGGAAACACCTGTTATCAAACACAAAAGTATTCAAAAACAAACAGAGTTAATCCAAAAAGATGACATATTTCGTAATAAATTTGGTTTATATTTAAGACTGCAACTGTTACAGTGGAACAACTCGAAAGTTCTAATTTCTTGAAACCTCGACATGTTGATAATATAAACCTTTGAAAATGAAAAGAAAAGCTCAGAAAACTAATCTTTATTCAAAGCTTCACGAGGTTGGTATCTTTTTCCCCAATCGATTGTCCTTCTTTCCGGTCGATGGGTTTTCGCGTTTGCTTGTGGCTGACGTTTCGGCGAATACGCCTTCTTCAAGCCTGAACGTATCAATCGTTGTAGCGTTATTTATATGACTATATACTGTGAGAGAAAAAAAAAGAAAATAAATCGAAAATCTACGTGTTGTTAAGCGATAACTAATTCGGGGAAACCACTCACCTTACCATCTAACCATGTTACAGTGGAAATTTTGAGTTAAGTCTTCAAACTATACAAAGCTTTTGCTCTGTCTGGGTTTGAATTCGGAAGGACATTGCGCAAATATGATTATGCGACATGTGCAAAAAGGCAGAGCTTTCTATAGACATACGAAGTCTGATTCCTACTGATCGAGCAACTATCGTCAGCTAACTGAGGAGCAGCATTGTCGCCAAAAATTCTAAAAGAGGCCCAAACAGCGATTCGTGCTCACTCAGTTAAATGGAGATTCAAGCGATGGACTCACCTTTTTTGCTGTGACGGTCAACCTCTGTCAGATTATACTGCTACTTTGAAGTAAATTGGGGAGGGGAATGTTGGTTGATCAAGTGAGCTGTGATCGGAGTTTTGCTTCTCGATCTAAAAATTAGACTTCTGCCCGGTGAAAGTTTTCAACGGCAGAGAGAGGAAGGAGAAGATAGAATTACGGATTTGTAATTGCAATACGTAGGAGCCATAAAAAAAAATCTTGGAATGTGAGTAGTATGCAAAATAATCTATTCAAGAGAGACGTTGAACCTGCGATAACGGTTCGCGTAAAATAAAATAATAAACAGCGTGAACTGTGTATGAGACTGAACCCGCTATTATCAATACTGGAGGGGTGTGTTTGCGTCACTGAGTTAGGGTAGTGGTAACGAGCACTTACGCAATAGATAAGACGCGGGTTCAAACGCGCTCAAGGCTCAAAGCTCTGTGTTCACTCAACATTATTGGATGTGAAGTTATGCACCACATCCCTGCTGAAAAACGGACGTAAGTGGTAAACAATTATTCTTCAGCCGATAGCTTAATCGGCAGTAAAAAAGTACTCGTCACCGAGTTACTTTGGCCCGAAACAAGAAACTTTACCACACATTCTACAGTAGTTATTAAGCCAAATAACTGCTATTTTTTCTTGTTTCTCATGCACATAACTATCAATTTACCTACATACAGGCAATCACCATGGTTATTCGTTGCGCAGTGACTCATATTAGCCGTGTCGTGTTTCCCACACCAACTGGCAGATGCATTCGCGCAATAATAGCCAGCATCTGTTTACAACACCAGCCGGCCGTGTGTCCGGGCAGCACAAAGACTTGTGTCTTACACTTGACAACCAAGAACCATTTCTCATAGAATTTAAGCAGTGTTGTGCTTGACAGTTATTTACAGTTTAAAAAGGAACAGCCTTGGGAAAGAGTAACACCCTCAGCAGTTGCATTCGCCTGCAAACGCTACATGGAGCTCGACTGCGACTTCTACCTCTCTTGGCTTTAGATATTATCCTGGTCATAGCGTAATGCAGTTCATGTCGTTGTATGTTGCTATTGTGTATAATCACTGCTCTTTACAATGTGTAGCTCCTCTGATTCATCTAGATCTAGGGTTCGGGGCATCTTACACTTGAGCTCGCATCCAATGCATCATCATGAACTGTTAACATTGCGTTAGCTGTCGTGATTGTTAATTCTTCAGTTGCAGTTATGTTGTGATTGTTATTTCTTATCAAATGTTCGTTATGGCAATAAATATGGTTCGCTGGTCTCGGGATCAACACTGTCCGTCATCCAATAAATAATAATAGACCCGTGTAGCAGAAATGACCATTACCATCGAGTGACCAAACGGCACACAACACACACTAACTCCCAGCAGGCACCAAAGCCTACTTACTTCTAGTGCAATGACCTACAAAATCTGAACAATCCAAAGCTCTCTGCACTGAAAAGTCAAGACATTTGGTGCACTGACCGGGAATCGAACCGGTGTCGTCTGAGTGGCAAGCGATCATTCCACCACTGAATTACCAATGCTTTCAACCCTCCTTTGGCATAGGAGAGGGCTGGGGCGCGCAAAATGTAACGGCTTTTCGTAGAATTATTCATTGCGTTGATTATTCCTGTCACGCGGGTCTTTTACTAATTATTCGATGACGAACAGTGCTGACCTGAGGCCATATTCATATGCATCGCCGTAACGAACAACTTATAGCAGATAACAATTACAATACGACTGGAATTGAGGAAACAACAATCGCGACATGTAACGCAATGTTAACGCTTCATGATGATGAAATAGACGTGAGCCTAAGTGTAAGATGCCGTGAACCCCAACATTCGCATAGGCATTATACAACGACATGAACTACAGTATGCTATGACCAGGATAACCTAGAGCCAAGAGGGGGGAAGTCGCTGCCGGGCTCCACGTAGCGTCTGTAGACGAGCGGAACTGCTGTGGGCGTAACTCTGCCCCAAAATTCTGTTTCGGTTTAGACTGTGAATAGCTGTCAAGCACAACACGGCTTAAATTCTGGGGGAACATTTCTTGGTTGCCAATTGCAAGGTACAAGTCTGCGCTGCGCGAACACACTGCCGGCCGGTGTTTGAAACAGAAGTTGGCTATTGTTGCGCGATTGCATCGGCCAGTCGGTGTGAGAAACACGACCCGGCTGGTATCACCACTGCAGCGAATAATCATTGACTATCTGCTGGAAGATATGTTGATAGTCAAGAGCATAAGTAATAAGAAAAAATAGCAGATGTTCGGCTTAATAACAGCTAGAGATACGACAAACCAATCAGACCAAAACATTAGTAGGACGAGCTTTTGTGGAACGGAAAACTTTTGCGCCAAAAACTAAATGGTATGCGATTCAGACGTGGCTTGCGACGAGAGGTGAACCCGCGTCCCAACTATTGCGGTTGGAAGTTTTCTTAATGTGCTGTAAGAGCCAAATGATTGAGTTTCGCACTGAGAGTGCATTTCTAGCAGGCTAAAGTGTTTGAGTAGCTGCACCGACTGCGTGGCTGAGTGATTCCACAGCGCGATTCACATGTGAAACGTGATTTTTGTCAACAAATTTAAAATTTTCTCTTAGCTGTGGAGAAAAAATTTGAATAATTCGTATGAAATTTTATCTATACGTTCACATATTTTCCATTCGTAAGCTGGCTTAAGGCTGAGATTAGACTTAGTAGCGGGTATATTTGAGAGCGTAGGCTCAATGAACGATAGAACAAAGTTTCCTCGACGATAGTAGAGAGAACCAAAGTATCTCTTCGAAGCTGAGTGAAAACCCCTAGTGCTGTAGAGTGATGTGCAAAACCTTCGCGTCGGGAGGGACTCAAACGGCACCTCATTCCAAGAGGGAACGGGTGCTCTAAACCGGTGCACTACTGGCGTCCGCTTTGCCATCACCTTTTCTTCACTTCAGCGTATCTATCTGCAAAGTCAGTAGGGCAACGGGTTAGAGCACGCGCTTCTGGATGAGTGAGATGTGGTTCAAGTCCCGCCTGACGCAGAAGTTTTGCACATCTATCTACATCCCTGGGTATATCAATAACATCATACCACCGCTTAAAGCGCTCAAATTTTTAGCAATTCTATCTAATCCCTAATGAATTACATAAATATGCCCGGAAAGCGCCGAGTATGAAACATGATTTCATTTTTACCGCTAAAACGCATCAAAAGGTCTTTTCAATGACAAACTATTGCTTCGAAATTGTGGAAATTTATGCCATAGAATGGTCACTGAAACTTTACGAAAGAAACAAAAACATGTTACGTACCAAAGGTTGGAAATGTGTACATAACGGAAAAATACCAAAATGATAAAAAGTAGAAGGGATAAAATATTTATGGACTCATTACTGTAATGCGGAGGCGCCATTTTTTGAACGAACAATTCTTAGAATATGAGTGGTATGCAAAATGATTGACTTCATAGAGAAGTGGAGCCTGTGATGACGGTTCATACAAAATATACTGATGAGCAGCACGAAATGTGCATGAGATTCAACCCGCAATTACCAATGCTGGAGGCGCATTTTGACAAAATTGTGTTAGTTCAGTGGTAACGCACAGTCACGCAACAGATAGGACGCGAGTTCAATCGCGCTTAAAACTTCGCATTCACTCAACATTACTGGATGCGAAGTTATGCACCATATCCCTGATGAAAAGAGGACATAGTAGTAGATAAAAATTCTTTTCTCAATTGCTTAATTAGCAGTGAGCAGTTGCAATTACTCGGTCAAGTTTTACTTTGGCACAAAACAACAAATTATACCACTGAACCACAAATCGATCAGATCAGATTTTAATAAATCGCTGCTTTTGTGGAACGGTAAACACTTGCGCAAAGAACTAAATGATATGCGACACAGACTCGGCTTCCGACGAGAGATGAATCCGCGTTTCAACCATAGCGGGAACGCATGCCAAAACTGCCGTGTCAGTGTAGTGGAGGCGCGCGTTTCGTAAAAGGCTAGGTACGGCTGGTTAAATCCCGTTCGAGGCTCGAGGTTCTGCATATTACTCGATATTCTTGAACATGCACCGGAAACATTATAAAATTGCTAATAAAAGCAGAATGTAGAAGCAACAGATTGTTTGGAAAATATTTATCAAATTACCTCGCTTCCAGTCGTGCCTAGATTGCACCACCTTGGACACATCTCCCATATGAGGGCCAATAAACAACAAAACTATATGACTTTTATCCATTCTTTGGTAAGGAATTTAAAAGCGCTTGATACATATTAATACTACAGAAAAGCCAAATGAGAGAGGAACCTTTTAATGTGCCTTACGTGAACGAATCACGTGCAAAAAGCTAGTCTAATTATCCAATACTATTCGAGATCGTCAACGATTTCACAATCTGATAATTTTACTCAAGTCAACATGTCATGTGGTCTTTCATAAGCTCCTGTACAGCCCGATACACGTGTACCGCCCTTGACAGCCTCGTCAGTCGGGTAGCTTCGTCTTTAGCCAATTCTCCCGAGGTGTCCCAGTCTCCTACTTGAATAGGAGACAGCGAACAATTTACGTGTGCCGTCAAGTGTAATAATTCACTAGATCGGCACTGTTCTGCACTCGATTGTTCTTGGCCGGTATTTTGAGATATTGTACGATTTGTTTCGAGTAGTTTCGAATTTTTTTGGCCCTTCTCATATGAAAAAACGTGCGGTCACATAAGGCCGTCATGAAGGTGATCTTTCAGAAAAAGCAAACAATCAAAAATCAGCAGCTCTGTTCATAATTGCAACTGTAAGTCATCCTAACACCCGCAAATGAGGATCGAAAAGTGGTGACTGCACAGATTTACATCGCATATGAGGGAGGATTGATCTCAACCAAAGGATGGATTGTGATTTGAGAAGCTTAAGCATTTAATAAAAAAATCAACAAAAGGACAATTTAAAAAAGAAAGAATTACTATCGATGGAAGATTCTGGCACGTGAGACCGATCCGCTCGTGTAGGAGCAGTCGTGTCTTCAGATAAAAATTCTGAAAAAAATCTACGAAGTTACACTGCTTTATTTCCCAATGAGTTTCATTAACATTAAACGCTAAATTGCTAGAAATTGCTTTTAACCCTCTGGGGACGGCAGTTAATCGATCGCACGGCGTAAATCGCAAGATGCGCGCGATTTTCGTCATTCATTGGAAATTTTTCTCCATTTGACAAGTAAAACTTTAGTTCCTTTGTGTTACTCGATACTACATGATTTTTCTCTATATGGTAATATGTTTTCATGCACATATAACTTTTCTAAACAGTAAAAACTTTAAGGGCGAAACGTAATAGTCTTCTCGCTCTATAGCGTTGTATGTCAATCTTTCACAAAAAACTATAGCACTGAAATCCTCGAGATTTGGGCTATCGAACAACCTGTAAGTGTTTGGTGAATGGTCATATACAAGCCCCAGCCGAGCAAATGAAGCAAACATGTGTGAAACATATTTTTACTTGCTGCTACAACGTAATAAAAAGGATTTTCAAAAATTAAACGTTTTGTTGAAATTGTGGGGACTTATGCATTCGAAAGATTACCGAGCGTCTGAGAGACAAATTTTTTCCAATAGGAAAGGCCTTCAAACAATCATATACCTCAGCTAGCGCACACCGTCGTTAAGGGTTGAAAATCCAATCAATATCATCATTTGCTCGCCCGCACCTGGAAAAAACACACAGAAAAATACTTCATATATTAGCAATCCGTTAAGAAAACTCACGTCTGGGAAAACTGTGTGCCGACTTGCAAAGTGGTCGCCACCCGAGTAACGCTAAATGGATGACTCATCGATCGATTTGGAATTTGTGTATTGCGCTTGGTGCAGTTACGGAATGTACCACACGCACTCGCTTACTGTATTACAAGAGGCTCTTCAATTTGGGTGAATATTTGGACAGGCTGTTTTCGCTGGTGATACGAACCCCGACATAGCTTCCATTCATTTCCATGTCGCGCAACGAGCTCATGTGGTGGTGGTTAGAGGTGCTCTGTGTGGCGCACAAGGTCGATGGTTCGATCTCGCGCTTATGGCTCATCATGCCGTCCATCCCTCCGTCGTAGGTAAAGTGGTACCAGGCTGGTCACAGACTCGTCTAGGAGATTAAGCAGCATTGACGCTGTTATGCGGGATGCCACAGCGAGTCATTGTAAAGGCCAGATATGCACTCAGTTACTTCAAACGTAGTTAAAAATTGAAGTCGAATGCATGGCGTATCCCTTAGCAATTGATCAACGCCAAGAGCTTTACCATTTTACCCTTTATCGCATGGTGGTGGTCTACTTCGAGCATGGTGGCGTACGCGAAGCCCATTCATTCATTCTAAATTAGATGCCGTCTGCGGAAGCAGATGATTGTCACGTGATGATTAGCACAAACACGTCCTCACATCGTTTGAGTGGTCTTCAGAAAGGGCTCTTGCATTCTCTTGGCGTCCATTTTACTATTCTTTTCATCCAGTTGTCATATGTTCTGCTAATCAAATGACCGGCCCATCAGTGTTGT